CATCTCACACGCTACGTTGCAAAAAATACTTACCAAACGGTCTTAGACGATAAGTCCGGTTATGACCACTTATTACTCTCAGAGGAAAGCCAAACCTATTTTGGTATCCAATGGGGAGGATGGTATTTCCTCTACAATACTCTGCCCTTTGGGTGGAAAATTTCGCCGTTTGTATATCATTTCACAGGCCTCCTGGCCTCAAATTTCTTTCGCTCCCTCAGTATACCATGCTCCCTTTATATTGATGATCGCCATAATGGACAACTCCAGGTTGATTTAAGTAAGGGAGCCTATTCCCAGTTGCAAACCTTAGATGAATGCGGTCGGGCGGCTTCTAATTCTGGTATCTTCCTTGTCGCATACTACTTGGTCCAACTTGGGTATTTCCTCGGGTCAGGTTGTCCCATACTAAAACTACATCTGTAATTTCAGGGGTCAAGATTTCAGGGTTGATTATGGCAATTTGTCTGTGTTATGTGCAACATTTCCAAGTGTACCAGTTGTTGACATGACTGCTACAGCGAGTAAAAGTGATAGAGAATCTATTAAAAAATCATTGGGCCTTAAAGAATGTACCGAGGTCATTGGTAATCCTGACCGGAGAAACATTACCTACAAAAAACATTTTAGAGGTCAACCAGATGTGGACTCAATAATAAACATTCTTACTCCAATTGCACAGGACTTATTGAAGGCACAGAAAAACTATTCTTTGACAATTATATACATCCCATTGAAGTGGTGTGGGTTTGCTTACAAATTATTTCAGTCTGTTTTGGGGAGCAGTCAGTATTTTCCAAAAGGATCAACACCAGTGCCCAAGAACAGGCTGTTTGCCCAATTTCATTCACCACAAACACAAGAAATGAAAGATGAAGTTCTGAAGCAATTGTGTTCTGCAGAAAGTACTGTAAGGGTGGTATTTGCCACAGTCGCTCTTGGGATGGGAGTGGATATTAAAGGCATACGAAGTGTTGTGCATCTCACCCCACCGCGTACTATCCAGCATATTTTCAGGAAACTGGCAGGGCTGGAAGAGATGGGCAACCTGCAACTGCAGTGCTTCACTATAACATATATGATATTGCAAGAAATAAGCAAGGGATGCAAGATACAATTAGGACATTGTGCCAAAGCAAGTGCGATTGCCTCAGAAATATCTTGCTCACTTCACTGGACACTGAACCATATTGTACAACACCTGTTTATCCTAAACACCTTTGCTGTAGTGTTTCTGAGTTGAAATGTGATTGCTCAAGTTGTATTAAGCTGATTTAGAAAGAAATTATGTTATGCACTAGTAAATATATGGACAAGTTTAATTGATAACGTCAATTGTTAAAGTTAGAGGGAATATACTTTCCATATAAATTTATAATATTTTGGGGGGAAAATCTTTACTGCACAAATTATAAATAAACATGCCAATTTGATAAATACTATATAATGCAGTAATGTTACTTGTTTATTTCCCCCCTTTGTCACACTGGAAAATTTTTAATCCCTTATTATATATACAACAATTTACATGACTTCCCAACAGTTCAATGCCAAGAAAAGTAAAAGATGTTAAAATATGTATAAAAACTAAATTAACTTTTAAACATTATTTACAAATATGTATAATTAATGTTTCACCATACATTTATATTATATTGCTTCCACTTGCAGCAAATCTGATTTTAACGCTAGGAATATGCTAGATTGCTAAGAATATATGCATATTAGAATACATGTGGACTTTCTGTTATAATTTTATCTTTACCACCAAGTCTCAATTTAAATCAATAAATTCTCTTGAGAGTGAGATTTGGTGGGAAAGACAATAACTTGTACAAAGACAATTATTATTACTTGTTGATGAATTGAACATTAATAATTTGGAAAGTAATTTTGTTAACTAATTGATGTTCAAGGTTGTTCAACATAAACAAGCAAAACCATTCAGAAATAGTATGGAAAGATAGTAGAGAAAACAGGCACAAGGTTACAAAAGTGTGGAACATTGTGCCTTAAGACTATGCGCAGTGGCAATTTAGTGTTTTAAATATCATCTGTAATGTCATCAATTAATAGCGAGTGTATTAGTTCACTGAAATCCTCACTTTGTTTATCATCCTCTGCATGAACAGTAGGTGCATCTTCAACTGTTGGAAAATGCAATGCAAAATTCCTTTGATGTCGCTTAAACCATTCACAAAACAATTCCTCATTTAAATCCTCCAATGGGTCTGGCGAAATCCCCACAAATGAAGTGTGAGATCGACCACCAACAAAAGAGAGGGGCTTCAATTTGCGCAAATCCGAGAAGATTTTATTCTCATCTCTTGAAGATGACCGATGGGAATGGGCTGAAGACTTGCGTCTAATGGATGCCTGTTCATCAAACACATCAACAATCTTACGTACCCCTCCAACAGCTTTACTTATCCTTCCAATTGCTTTCTCGGTCTTGTTGGCCCCCATCATCCGAATAAACCCTTTGAGATCTGCATTCCAGTTTTCCTGCAATAAATCTATCTCTATGTTTTTGTCTCTACCTCCATTCCAGTTAGCCAAAGCTGCCCACTTACACTGATGTGCTTCTTGAGGTGATAGCAAGACTTCATTCTGGATGATAAATATAAGCATCTCAATGGCATAAACATTATATCCAGAAACAGATAAGAAATAGAACAACATATGTTTCTGGATTGTGGCCAAATGCTCACCATTTCCTGAAGCTACAGCATCATAGCAGTATCTCGGAAGTATCTCAATGTGCCATGTTCTCTGCTTGAGTTTTTGTACAGCCGTTTAATTAACCAACAATATGGCTATACTCAAAGGAAAAATTGAAGCTCACCTTTAAAAAACTCCTCTTTGTATGCCATCCAACAATTCTATATGGATATAAATGGTCAAGTCGCTGCTTCGCTGTGTGACAACCAGAACGAAGGTCACATGCTCCAGCAAACCTCACTCTTGTTAACTCGTCACCAAAACAAGGAACTTTTACCCCTTTAAGTGGATCACAGTTTTGAGTAGAAGGTGGGATGTGGGATCTCGGTTGATCTGGTCGTGTTGGAACTTCTACCAAGGGATAGGAAGCAGATGCGTGGTCTAGCTGATCTTGACACTTACCACTTGCCTTGTATATCTCGTGTGTCTACTCTTCCAGCTGGTCAAGAACCTCAACACAATCACTATACTTTTTCTCATCTTTCATTAGTACAGGCATAGTAATAATTTCTGACTTACAAGATGCTGTATCAGAATGTTCATGAGTGAGTAGAAGTTCCTCAGATATGTATGATTTAATTCTGCTGAATTCTGGAAACATCTTGATTAAGATTCTTGCTACCAATATCTTGTAACGAAAGTGAATCTCCTTGAGCTCTTCATCCTTGATGTCAACTATTTCTCAAAAGTTGCAAGTTTTTATATCTTTCTGAGAGCCATCATCAGGTAGGTGGTCACTTGAAACTCGGGTGAACACCATGCTGGTAGCAACAGCATGGACACTCTTATTTTGATAAGTTTCCCGCATATCATGCACTTTCTCCTCCCAATCTATGTTGTCGACAACAAAGACAAACTTCTTTCCAGCCTTCATTAACTCAACAGCATGATCCAAAAAGTGTTTGCCAATGTCATCAAGGACAACATACTTTTTAGAAGAGCTGAGACATAAGCCATACTTGTTTAGCCATACAAAATAAGCCATACAAAACCCTTCCCACTTCAGTAATGTGAAGAGTTCATTTTATTTTGATGAGTTCAATTATTTCAAATATTACCCCTTATTTGCTTCAATACTTTGTTGGGATTATGTATTTTTCTGTACCCTCTAATGCAATACAGAACAATTTACAGAAAAATGCACAGGAAGCTTTGTACTTTTACCGCAAATGAGATACAGGGAACAAACAAGTAAAATGTGTTAAATTCCACTTAAGTGTATATATCATCTTTCATAAAACTGGATTTGCAAATTGCAATTAACATTATTATCATATTTAGGTGGGTCTGGATCAGCCCTTGAACAAGTAATGTGGTATACTGTAGCATGTGAAATAATTTGGCACTAACATAATGTATTGAGGTGCCATTGCCTCTGTACTTCATACTTATTGTCTATCACAAAAGCATGCTATAAGAACCTACATTAGTTGATGCCTTTCCATCAGTCAGAATGATGGTGTTAATTCTCTGAATTCTGCTCAGCTCATGACATCTCATAAACATAATGATGCTATAAATCCGGCAAATGGGGGATAACGTTTTGCCAAGGTTCTCCATGGAACAATCAAGCAAGCTTGATAAGATATCTGCAACTGTGGGGCATCTAGTGGAAAGTTTGTTTATAATTTCACCCATCCATGTTTCCTTGGACAAACCTCCATAGGACCTATCCCTCAGCACAGATGGTTCATCTCTTCTGGCAATATTTACCAATTAATCCATCTGATGCTCGATATATGCCACGGAAATTAGGCTATGTTTAGTGTGACCGGGTCACATGGGTCACATGGTCACAAATAAAGCTAACGTATAAATATGAAATAAATTATAACGTATAAATGATAGTCGCTAGTAATAGTCCGGTTAAGCAATATGCGCTAAGGTAAACATAAGTCGTAAGCTAAAATGAAACAGTTGCTTGCCATATCGTGCTTAATGCCAGTTACCTGATGTCAGTAAGCGTGTCTTGTGCAATAATTATGTGTACTTGTACGCCGGAGGGCGAAGTACATACTTCCCTTAGTTCCATATTAGACGCGCTGTGGCCGCGTACATATATGTACATCTGGGAAAACGAAGAATTACACGGGCATACGTTCAATTTAAGAACAGCCTTACTGTAACAACCCGTAGCCTCTTCCTTAATATTCTTATATTCTTGCATTTTCTTACATTCTTTTGTGACACATAATATCAATAATACGTCACTGCTATGATCACGGTCCATGTAAACATGATGCCTAGCCACTTGGAAACTATTTCACATCCATACCACTATGTCAAAGCGGCCTTCCAAACGTGCAGCGTTTTCAGTGGAAAGTTTACGAGAAGAGGTTGAGCAGGAAGTAAAGCAAGACGCAGTTGATAAAAAAATATTATGTGATATTACAGCTGTCGATCTTAATTTTGTAGACTATATGTCGGTACAAATTATTTTATGTGCTATAATAGTAAAATTCGGTCTAAACACCGTTTGTGCTTTTGCAAATATTGTGCAATCGTTATGTGTACTTCCAATGAAAGTGCGTCAGGAAGTTTTACAGTTGTTGCATCCACAGTTGTCAGCAGGTGAAGCCGAAACATTGTTTAAATGCGTGAAAAAGGTGAAACTGCGGAACATAATAAATACTTCGAAAACGGACCAAGTTTATGTGTTTGCACCACCCTACGAACACTGTCTTGCTTGTAATTTGCCCTTAGTTAAGCACAATGCCCCAGTATATGTCCAGTACCATCATCATTACGGTACGAGTAAAGGAATCAAAGTATCTTTAAAGTGTAGTCGGTGCAAACATTTTTATGGTTATTCGAAGTATGGCAACCCAGAATCTGGCTGGAAATTATATCCTGAAGAAAGGTCGTCCGTAGAAGCATCTGATGTATGTTTTGTTGAGAGGTCCCTACTAAAATGGCAGATATCATTAGCGTAAGTACTAAGTATATGATTTGAAATCACAACTGTTAATATATATTACTATTTATATTATAAACGTTATTGCTTTGTTTCTATTGAAACTAGAAATCATAGTTGGGTGAGCTTTTCTGGATTTTCTACTGCCTTTAATGAAGTATTTTTTGATCATCGTGGTTCGACAGACGAAGGTATACTAGCTATAGTATATATTTATACTATATATATACATACGATAGGTAAAAACCCGCTATCGTACGTTTGTGACTTGTGACTACCTTTACGCATATGACGTCTATAGAACGAACTATCTTCCTTCTTATCGTGGTCTTCAAACGATATTAACAAAACACACAACCCGTACAGGGTAAAAGTAAATTTTCTTGCAACAATTAATCGTCCCTTTTAATCGAGCATTCTAGAATATATATTATACTGATATACCATTTAATTAATAACTGTCAAACGATGGCAGGTGTGCGTCTGACAGGTGACGTAACATAACAACACTTGAGTTGCTATCAATTTAGATAAAAATTTAGGAATCTAAGTTATTTTCTACACAATTTATATATAAATATATATATTTATTTATTTATATATATATATAGGGTTTAGCGAGAAACAATGTGCTGCAGCTTTTTGGAATGGTGAACTTGAAGATGAGCTGAGAGAGATTGGCAAGCTTGATTTTTTTGGACTGATGAAGAAAGATGAGGATCGCGAGAAAATTATGGAAGAAGTAGACAAGTATAGAGCCAAATCTGTATATAGACATTCACCAGAAGATTGTTCTGATGAATGCAAGGCTAGAGGTATAAAGGCGTGATATAATATAAACTATATATAAACGAAAACGTTAAAACTCAAAAATAGCGTTACCTTGGCATTTCACCTTGCAAACAAATATTTTTGCAGGCTGTGGAAGATTATGGGTGGTGGATGGACAATGGAAACTTATGTTCGCACATTGCATGATGCAAAGGAAGGTAAAGTATATAGGTGTACAACATTTCGTATGCACATGTGCATGCATGTTGTCTAATCGTTACTATATTTTTTTCAATAGAGCTTTGTCCGGGGACTTCCACTTGTAAATTACCCAAATGTATGTACGAATTCACCGAAACATGGCAAGGCATTTTGTAAGGAACATCTTGCATACTTGCATGAGAAACACCCAACTGTTCCCACTGGCATTCGTGAATTTTTAAGCTATTGTGGTGTTCATAATGCTCATCTTGATGCAGGTATACGTAAGTTTTGGGATGACCAATGGCGTCACAATTCGAAAACGAACTAAACTTATTATGCATGTGGATGGCTGCACCTTACTATATAGGCAATATAACATATTTTCACGTAACATACCTAGTTTTACGTCGTAAATATTTGGGGGGGGAGGTTTATTCAAGGTATCATGATGATTAAGACTGCAGAACATGTGAAACAAATTTTGTTGTATTTATAAACAGGCGAGAAGAAAAATGAATTCAGTACAGAGGAGTTACCGAATAGTGATGTTGAGAGAGTAAATAATGTACTTTCTTCGCTTTGCGACAATGATGCATCTCCTCGTGGGTCAAGTGTAGTCGAGACTCAAGGTAAAATCTAAAAATTTTCGAATTTAATATACACGTAGTTATGCAGGTGAATTATTTACATATCCAACCAGTTTGACGAAGCAAGATGACATGAACGATAAAACGATTTATTTAGGAAATGCAGAATTCATCGAAAAACAGCAAGATGCGATAAATAGTGTTTTAAGTGACTGTACAGAACCTCAGCCAACTAGTTGTAATAAAGATACGGGTGTGAAACAACGGATGCAAAAGTGGTCCAGGGGACACCTTTTTGTTGTCCGAGGAGGAGGAATTATTGACAAATGGAGTCCACTATTTAAGTCAATATATATTTTCTAAGCAATGTATAATTTAGGTTTTTGCATAACATGCATGTTTTAAAAGTTCATTTAGTGTTACTTTCTTTCTCTAGATCTGAAAGTCCATCTCAAGTATTTATTATTATTTTATCATGGCTTTTCGTGATCCTGAAGGGTTTAAATCCCACAAATTGGTCAAATATTTTTTTGTCGTATGATAATATGTGCCACTTGGATGGTATGAGAGCATCAAGAAATCCACTCCCACTTCCTTCTCCCTGGGACAAGGCATGGACATCGGTAACCAAAATCATAGATAGTCTGCATATTAAAAACCACAAAGATGTTTCGTGCAAAGAGAAATATGATCCCAATATTTTGAAAGAGCTTCTTCCTGAAGGAAATACCATGGCTGCTGAACAAACATTTGTTTGGTTGTCGCGATTTAAGAAAATCCTGTGTGCAATGCCAAAAGTTCACCACCTATTTTATCTTCACCGCATGGTAAAGCATAGAAATCGCTACACAATTGCTTGTTACAAAACTGGCAAAAAGCCCTTACTACCAAAGGCCCGTAAGAAGTAACACTGAATTAATGTGCAACATATATTTGCAATTTGGAATATTATTTAGAACTTATAAGACAAGTGCGTATTTTATACACATAATATGACAACATGCACGCATGCCCTAAATAATAACAATCATAAAGTAATGCACATTTGTAGCTATGCACTTACAGTATCGAAAGCGATATATTTCAAATTATATTCATAAATACAATTAAATTAATGCTTAATTAGGGAATGCTTTATACAGGTATGTCATTGCAGACATCACATTGCTTTGCTGCACGATGGACAATACCTGCAACAAGAATTATTATAGTATTATTTGATTAATTTTAATACAGCGTTATGATATTTTTGTATTTCAATTTTATCATAATATAAACGCCTGCATACTCACCAAGGGTTTTCTTTTGGTACGCGTTTAATCTTCAAACAGGATAGATGGTAGTACCTGTTTCCTGGGCACTGTAAACACGCAAATAATCATTTTAAATTTCAACAAACCACTTTTCAACCCCATTTTCACCACCCACAGTTTTAGTTAATACGGACTAATTAAATTTGACTATCTATTAGGCAATCCGGCGAAATATCATTCGAAACGTCCAAAAAATCACGGGGCTTTAATGGGTGTCGTATTGCTTTAACGTAAAATTCAGTTATACGATCTATACCTTATTCTCTTTCTTCCTTCTTCGGTTTTCACATATAATCATTTTATTCTCTTCAAGCTTTGATTTAGCCTAAATTGTATCACACATGTAGCAATCGTATTTAGTTTCGACAATACCGACAACTGAGGTCGTTCATGAAACACAGCTACGTATTCAATGATGCATGCGAGGTTACAGTTTTTAATTATAGGCACGAACTGATTCAACTCAATGACTTGCCTCTTTGCAGACGCAATATTTGTATCCTTTGTTCTCGTCTGGGATTTAATAAAAATATAATTAGACTATGTATATCGCACGAATCAAGAAATATTTTTCATACTTTGCACTCAAATAGATAACTATACCTGTCAATTTGATCCTTTTTGATTTTGCAACAGTTGCATTTAAACCCCTTTTTCTCGCCCCACTGACGGTAGATAAAACATCGTTATCTTCTATGTCATTTGCTTCAACTGTTGAAATACATAGTTTGTGCTTTGTTAATTTTAGCTGGTCTACGTGAATAAGACTGCCTGACCAACTTGTTAGTTGACTTCGGGCAGGTAAGGGGACGACGGTCCACATACCTTCAAAAAAAACCCCACTGTCATCTAATAGTGAAGATGCATCTTCTGGTTGTGGGGCATCTTCTGGTCGTGGGGCAGCTTCTTGTTGTGGGGCATCTTCTGGTTGTGGGGTATCTTCTGGCCGTGGGGCATCTTCTGGTCGTGGGGTATCTTCTGGCTGTGGGGCATCTTCTGGTCGTGGGGCAGCTTCTTGTTGTGGGGCATCTTCTGGTCGTGGGGCATTTTCTGGTTGTGGGGCATCTTCTGGTTGTGGGGCATCTTCTGGTTGTGGGGCAGCTTCTTGTTGTGGGGCATCTTCTGGTTGTGGGGTATCTTCTGGCCGTGGGGCATCTTCTGGTCGTGGGGCATTTTCTGGTTGTGGGGCATCTTCTGGTTGTGGGGCATCTTCTGGTCGTGGGGCATCTACTGGTTGTGGGGCATCTTCTGGTCGTGGAGCAGCTTCTTGTTGTGGGGCATCTTCTGGTCGTGGGGCATCTTCTGGTCGTGGGGCAGCTTCTTGTTGTGGGGCATCTTCTGGTTGTGGGGTATCTTCTGGCCGTGGGGCATCTTCTGGTCGTGGGGCATCTTCTGGTCGTGGGGCATCTTCTGGTCGTGGGGCATCTTCTGGTTGCACGGGGACGACCTCATTTCCCTCTTTTGACTTGATGTTAAATGCTGCAATGTAATTTCCAATTTAAAGTGAATACTTTCTGGGTAGCATAATGAATTCTTACGTTGTCTGTCGGCATTTTTCATCATTTCGTACACAACATAATGCACCGACATAGTTACGCAAAATAGTAAACAACACAATACGAAGTATTTCCGTGAACAAGAGACAATACAAAAAGTATTAAGAATAAAAATAACAGTAGGGTTACACAAATTTCCGGTAAATTTGGCTACATACTTTCTGAAAAGATACCCCAACTATCATCTCCAAAAGCGGAATGTTTCACAAGAACGCACTTTCTTGAAACCACTTCCACACCTTCTGCTCCTCTGCAAATGGTGTTGCCGTTTGGGTACTTATTGAAATATTGCTTTTTGTTGGTTATGACACCAACGCCAAGCGTGGCAATTTCCTTTCTCATGACATCCTCACGTGGTGTGGTATTCCCCGTCTTCTGCTTCACCAAAGCTAAAAACCATTTCAAAGCAATAGCAACACCACGTATTTTTGGTGTCGAGGGTCCTGACGAAAAACTTACGTCAGGATTTATACAAGTCAGCATCTGAATAAATATAAATATAACATTTCTCACGTGTATATCTAAATGGAAAAATTGTTTTTTTCGTATATTAAAGTATATATTAAGAATTTTTCGTATATTAAAGTATATATTAAGAATCAAAGCTTGATACTTTAAAATTACATTTTTTACCGTTGGTATTGCAAGTTTATATTCTTCTATACACCTCGTGATGGTATCTATTATGAGTGGCTCGCCCGACTCTGGTGTCATAGTCATGGGATCTGTACTTTCTCTAGCGTCTTCGGTCTGGTATTTGTTCACTCCACGAGGAACGATGACGTCGATAAAGTAGGAGTATGCTGCACTGACATCAATTTCTATATCTGCCAGTTCAATGACCTGTAAGAAGAGTAATTTATGCACGTTCAAGTTAATCAATAAATGTATCTTCTTACCTAAATCACATAATCCTAAACCTGGAGCTTAAATATTTCACAACGCTATTAATATACATATATTTCTCACTAATTTTCTAACTGTATACATGTACCTTTTCAGCAAAGCCAATTAATAATGCATAATTTTTCATACAACGGTCGTCCAAATTCGCGACGTCTTGTACCATGGACGCAAGAATAGATTTGGAACGGGTTTGACAAATATATTCCACGTCCTCGGACACTCCAATCATCGTTCCAATGGCGCTTGACGCACGATCTAGAACGCTCTCACAATTTGATTCCGCCATTTGTTGGGCGTCCACTCCATTGGGACATCTAGTTCCTTCAACAAACGGAATCATGACGACCCGTCCAAAAACGCTATGAAACATTTTGAAAAAATAGGTATAATTAATGTGATATACTTCCACGATTGTACTCACACCAACAATGCATCTGTCCCATGGCGTAATATGTTGCATGGAGGCGTACCAATTTTAGTTTTATACGGAAAGGATACTTTCTGTAGGCCAAAGGTTTTCCGTTATTGTTTAAAGATAATTTATTATACCTAAGTATTCAATGACAATAAACAGCTGTACATGCACTTTCATCATTTTATTCCTAAATAACTTACGTTGGGTCCAATTTAAGACCATCTAATATTTCCCAGTTAACGGTAAATATTGGAAGAGTTTTGGGCAGCTTTTCAAAAATACATGTGCCATCTTTTCCATTATTGAATATGGATAAAGCAGCGTCACTAAGAATCTTGGGCAACTTTATATCGTCCAGTACGGGTGGAAGGGTTGAACGGCTGCAAAGACGGGGTATAAACCTTTCCTTCACAGAGGAATAGAAATTGGCGGTGTTACCAATTAAGGCGAGCGCTGCTCTGGCAGATGTAGTTTTCCCAAGTCTGTTTGTTCCACATACGACGGGAATTGGGCAGTATTTCTTGACTTTGATGATCATTTCATAATGCAAGCCCATTAGCATTGAAGCTATATATATGTAGAGAAAGTTAGAAGAAGAAGTGAAAAACTACAATGGGACGCTTTTCTTGGAGAAGTCAGCTTGGAAAATAATATTTATAGCCAATTATATGTATGTACCGATAGTAAAAATTCCAGCCATTCCATTGTGGTGTAGAGTACCCATCAACGACTTTACAACATCCCCTAAAGTTAACGAACTTAAGGGTAGTATGATCGACGGCAAACTGCTGCTGTCCTCTTGATTTTGATCTTCGACCTCTAATATGTTCTTTATATAAACATATGAGGTGTCGCCCTCGTTAGCCAAATTTCCTTCACCCGTAATCTGCAGATTGTCTCCAAGCACCCAAACATTGCTATCTGGTTGGCGACCAATTCGCACTGCTGCTTTATAGGTGTCGTTCGTATTGGAAATACGGCATTTCCTATAAGAAATATAGTTTGTAGCAACATTTATTGACAACTCAACGTTGTGTAAAACGTACCTGAAGTAATTTTTCATGAGCCATTTCAAAAAACTACGGAACTCATGCGGTTCCAAATTACAAGTCAGGACCCCAGATCCAAAGGATTTGTTCAGTTCCTCTAGAAATTTGGATACTCCACCATTCATCACTTTTTGCAGTTTGAAGTAGCATATTCTAAAAAGATACGCCTTCAGTATAATATACGTTTATCCAGTTTGAGACAT